GTGGGCGCAGCGTCCCAGGAGCGACTTGTAGTAGAGCTTGAAGATCACCTTGATTCCGCCGGCCTCCAGGAGGTGCCAGAGCCCCGGCAGATTGTGGATCCGAAGGAGCTCGGGGTAGGCGGCGTCGAAGCCGCCGTCGCCGTCGCCGCGGCCGTCCGCGCGGCCGACGTCGTCGTCGCCGCCGTCGTCGCCGCGCCGGTCCGCGGCCGTCGCGCCTCCGCCGTCGTCGGCCCTGAGGCGCGCCGCGGCGATGCGCGTCGCGAGGTCGTCGAGCCGTCGCGCCTTGGCCTGGTTCTCGTCGATGTGGCTCTGGATGAGGCGCGCGTACGCGTCGACGTCCGCGCGGCCCGCGGCGTCCAAATTCGCGTCGCCGAGGCCCTCGAGGACGTGGGCCCGGAAGCTCACGAGCGCGCCGCACGCCCGCGGTCCGGAGCGCTCGCCTAAGACCTTGGCCCGGTCGTCGACGATGTGGAGCCACCGCCCGGCGAACGCGCGCCGCTGCGCGGGCGTCGCCGCGGCGCGGATCGCGGCGGCTTCCGCCCGGTACGACGCGCGGAGCGGCAGCCCGCAGGTCGCGTCGCCGAGGACGTCCTCGAGGCCCTGCAGCGGGTCCCAGTCGTCGGGCGCCGACGATGTGCCCGGCTGCAGCCCCTGGGCCTTGATCGCGCGGAGGCAGGACTGGAACGCCCCGTCGGACGCCGTCGTCGGCCGCGGCGTCAGCTCGGGCCTCGCGACCGCGCGGGCCTCGCCGCGCGGCCGTGGAGCGGCGGCTCCCGTCGCGGGCAACAGGGCCGCACGGATCCTTCGCGGCCTCGCCGCCGAGGGTGACGTAGCCTCGCACGAGGTCGTTGCGGAGGTCTTCCGCGGAGCCGCCGCGCCTCTGGAAGTCCGCGCCCGACGTCGCGACCTTGTAGGCCTCGTAGCGGTCGCGGCTCTTGCCGCCCTTGGGATTTTGGAGGAGGAAGGAGAGGGGGACGTCGTCCTCGATGAACTTGCGGATGACGCGCATGCTGAGCAGGGTCGACGTCGGCCGCGGCGGCGCCCGCCGCGGCGGCGCCCGCCGCGGCGTCTCCGCGCACTCGTCGCAGAGGTGGTCGCCCCGCGACCGGTGGTCGACGCAGCTCACGTGGGCCTTTTGGCCGCAGCCGACGCAGAAGATGCTCGGCTCGGCGATGCCGAGCGGGTCCCCGCAGACGTAGCACGCCTCGTCGTCGTCGTCGCCGGCCTCTTCGAAGCGGTCCAGAGCGTCGCCGCCGTCGCCGCCGCGCGCCGACGCATCGCGCAGCGTGCAGGCGCGCGGCAGCCGCCCGGACTGCGCGGCCTGCGGGTCCACGGGCGGCTCGAGCCCGAACGACGGCGTCGTCGGCCGGTACGACGCCGTCGGCCGGTTCTTGCGCGCGGGCTCCAAGCTCTCCGCCGTGGCGGCGATGTCCGGCGGGACGACGAGGGGCGAGTAGTCGCGGCTCGCGAAGCAGGGCTCGTCGATGTTCTCGACGAGGTACTTGAGGAGGTTGATGCCGTTGAGCCTCGCGAGGCGGCAGATCGTCATGCCCGTGCCGTGATCGAGCTTCGCCGCGCGCTTGTACTGCGTGACGTCCTCGTTCATCCCGAAGCCCCAGGCCATGCAGGCCTCTTGGACCTGCTTGGAGCTCGGGTTGATCGCCAAGAAGGCGTCGAGCGACTCCCGCGGCGAGGGCCCGTCCTCGACGGCCGTCGACGTCGCCGCGACGGTCGCGGCCGTCGACGTCGCCGGGACCGCCGTCGACGGCGTCGCCGCCGGCGGCTGCGCCGAGACCGTCGTCGACGCCGCCGCGGCGTCGCCCGTCGGCCCGGCCAGCGGCGTCGCCGCCGCCGTCTCCGCGGCCTCGAGCGCGACGAGCTGCGCCGTCGTCCGCACGACGCGCTTGTCCAGGAGCCGCGATAATTCGGCGACCGTCATGCCCGCGGCGTTGAGGCCGTTGCGGTAGAGGACGTAGTCGCCGACGTAGATCACCCAGTCCTTGCCCGGGTCGCCGCAGCCGATGCCGAACCAGTCGAGCGCCTGGAGGCGCGCCTCGGCGACCTCGGGCACCTTCTGCGTGTTCTTGAGCTGGACCTCGAGGGACTTGACGTCGTCCTTCTTCCAGTCGTCCTCGAGCTGGAGCGGGCCCTCCGGCCGGTACTTGAAGGCGTCGGTCCACCGCGGCTTCTTGAAGACCGCCGGCGGGAACGCGCCCGGGTCGTGGCGCCAGACGAGCTTGTAGAGCGTGCGCTTCAGGAGGTCGCGGCCGTAGCCGCCGTCGACGCTCAGCACCCCGAGCTCCTTGGCGAGCCAGGGCTGGGAGTGGGCGTCGATGTCGAAGTCGGCCGCGCGGACCTCGACGAAGGGCTTCGAGCGCACGCCGAGCTCGCCTGTGTGCAAATCAACCAGTGAGCTGGGACGTCGGGGCCAAACTTCAGAATTCTCTAGCTCGGTCAAATCGAAGTCGATTCGGCTGATTTTTGGACGAATCGATTGCTCTCAGCGAGGTCTCGAAGCACGGCGGAAGTGCTCGTGTCAAAACATTCGAATACGCGCACATTGAAGTCGGGTTGAAGATTTGATTTGCACGCCGAGCTCGCGGAGCGTCTTCTCCAGCGGCAGCGTCTGGAGCGGCCACGCGATCGCGAACCACGACTGGAGCAGCGGGTTGGTCTCGAACGAATTGAAGTGCTCCAGGCGCTGCTGCGCCCAGAGGCGCGTCCA